TAATGATCTCTCAATTTTTATAGCATCATCTTTACCTGTCTCTTATACACATCTAGATGTGTATAAGAGACAGCTTTAATGTTTTTAAAAAAAAAAATTCTAATAGTATTGTAAAAATCAAAAATTAAGCTCTCTTCTAATAATTACCACTGTAGAAAAATTTTTTAACATAAATTTATATCAAATAACCCTTTCTGACATATAAATAATTGAATTTTATTTTGTAAAGATTTAACAAAAAAATGGAGATGTATTTAGTAATTATTTTTTAATTACTTGAAATACTTCATATTTTTCCACCTTAAAACTTTCTGGAATTCCTATTTTAGGATAAGCAAAATTAGCATCACTAATATCAGAATGATAAAATGTCCAGTTGTCGGTACCGTTACAATAGAAATTGCCCATGTGTGGTCCTTGATTACTCTCGCAATAAATAGCACAACTTGCATTGTTGTCATTAACATAACTTAGTTTTGCAGTAGAAGATATGTTTAATTACTATTAATAAATCTTTATAATAATTATAGTAATTGAAACATATTGAACATATTATTCAGTTGATTTTTTATAAATAAAAAATTAATTTTTTAACGCAATACGAACATTTATTAATTATCAATGATTGAAATAATTTATGCCGCAAACCCCGATGATCTGGAGCAAAACTTCAAATAGACAATCCCGTTTCAAACCAAAACTAGTCAGCCAACCACAAAGAAATAGATAATCGTAATTATTAACACGAAATACCAAAACGATTTGAAGAATGAAAGAAAATGGGTTAAACATGCCGTATACGACTTAAAAGTGACAAGAACATATTTCAAAAATAGACGAATTTTTAACTTCATCTTTTATGATAAATATTTAATCACGAAATAAGGAAAATTCTGAGAGGAATCACATGAATTACAGTTAATACTTTTTATTTTTTTACATACATTTATTTAGATTTTTTTTTTTTTTAAAAATACATTTATTTAGATTTAATTATCATTTTTTTATGTATAGGAAATAATTTTCTTATGTAAACGAAATTTTATTTTTTAAAAAAAAAAATTCTAATAGTATTGTAAAAATCAAAAATTAA